CGCACTTTTGTAAGTACAATTGAGATTTGAGAAATTGTGGTGGTTTTCTATTGAAAAGAAAACTTTTGCAAAAGTCCGAGCATAGAGAAGTAACCAGTGAATGAATGTACCAAGGTTTGATTTTTTTTTTTTTAAATAATTAATGGTCGCAATAGGTGAGACAAGACAATGACGTGAAAGTATAGCAGCCTGATTGTTGGGATGATGCTTAATAGCTATAGCCGAACATCATTAATTAAAAACTAATCACACCGTGAGATTTTTTAGAGGCGGAGGTTCGTGTGCTGGAAGAATATGGTTGGGTTCCAAATAGTGGGTTGGGCTTGCTCGATTACTGCTCTAGACTTGTACATGATAAAAAAAAAAGAAAGAGGTGAGGAAGATAGCTCAAGAGTGGAATTATAGAGAGAGACGTGGCACTTGAAATAGAATATTAAAATTAAAACAAAAGAAGGGCAAGAAGCAATGGGAGAGAGAGAGAACAGTGAAAGCAAAACAAAGAAGAGCGACTGCGTCACCGATTGGTCGGAAGAATACCTGATTCACCGAAAAAAAATGAACTGCATTGATCAATGAAACTTTGATTTTGCCGAAGAGAATAGTGATCAAAAGCCCCCACAAAAAAGAATTCCAATCGTCCATAAGAACAAGAAGAGTGATTTAAGAATCGGTCGGAGAATAATCGATCTTAGGTAAAATAAACCCAATGGTGTAAAATAAACCCAATGGACAGAACTGATTGGCAATCACTTTGATACTACGGCACATAAAGAGGTGGAGGAAAAACTTCTCACTATTGACTATCATTAATATGTATATAATACAACAAGAAGTAACTTGCACTGTAAGTTAACTTGTACAGCAAGATAAGTACCCTAAGTAATATACCATAAAATGTATAATTTCTATATATAATATGATACAAAATATACCTATAAAATATATACTTTTTATATATGATATGATATAAAATAAATACAAGATCTTCAATGGTCTCTACACAAGTGATGTTCAACAAAGCTAGGGGGTCTAGCCCTAGCATGTCACTGTAAGATCCAAAAAAGACACCCCAATATTTATCAAGGAATACGATCATTTTATTCCATTCTTTAGGTGACAGCAAAGTCCTACTCTTGGCTATCTTTGGATGCTCGTCTCCTTAGGTTGACATCTAACATGTCTTCAACAATAGAAGATGATTTCCCATCGAACCTCTATTTAAACTGCTCTACTTGAGCTTTAATATTTCAGACTCTTTAGTCACTCTCAACTTCTTAGTCTTGTCGATCTTCATCTAGATTGTTTGGCTCTTGATTTGTTAGATTTTTCAACACTTAGTAACAATAGAAGATGATTTCCCATCGAACCTCTATTTAAACTGCTCTACTTGAGCTTTAATATTTCAGACTCTTTAGTCACTCTCAACTTCTTAGTCTTGTCGATCTTCATCTAGATTGTTTGGCTCGTGATTTGTTAGATTTTTCAACACTTTGTAAGTTTGTCCTTGATTTGCTTCAACTTTTAAGTGCTCCGTTGTCTATCATAACGTATCCTTAATTAATGTATAGCATATGTAGATAAGGATTTGGCTCAAATTCCTTCTCACACAAACTGGATCAATCTCTTCTTTACAATGAAGTGGCAAATTGAGCTACTTTCCATTACATCATTTTCTTTCCCTGATGAGCCAATCAAGAGAATTAACCTAAACAAAAACCTAAAACCATCCTTTGGTTTTGCAAAAATCCTATCTCATGCGCTTTTTCTTACACATAGAAAGCAATGAAAAGGAACTTCTCATCCTTAACATCAAACTATGGGAACTCCGGTACTTAGATTTTCTCGTTGTTTAGTTCAAAGCTTTAATGTCGAAGGTTGGCTGATCGATTCTTCTATACATGGGAGGCCAATTATCGAGTTGGGGGAATTGATTGCTGCCTCATTCATGAAAAGATTTTCTTGAGTTTGATTAGGGCTGATAATGGGCTGGGCGGCCCAACCCGGCCAGCCCAGTTGGCCCAACCCTCAAAAAGTAGGGCGGGGCCACAAACTGTAGCCTGAGGGCTAGGCTAGGGCCACTGCCAGCATGGTTCGGCCTGCCCAAGCCCACATTTTTTTTTTTTGTTTTGGCCTTTTCTTTTATATATGTTTTTGGCCTGGCCCTTCCTGGCCCAGCCTTGCCTAGCCCGACCCTGTCTGGCCTGGCCCTAATAGGAACAGGTCTGGGCTTGGGCCAGCCCCATGGGGACAGGAGTTGGGCCAGGGACTGGCCCTGGCCCATTGCCACCCTTAAGTTTGCCGTGGATAGGGGTTGACGGGCCCTTTTTATTTCATAGATTGAATGCACCAAAACAGTCCCAGTTCATCGTGCTTTGGTTTGTTCAGACATCTTCATCTAATACCGTGAAATTGTTGGTTTTTCAGATCCTAGGAAACTAGATCTCAGTTCTTCTTAGCTTCGAAGCTAAGGTTGGCATTAAAGCAATCGATTGCAATGAGTGTAAAGAGATTGAGGAAATATCTGTAAGTCTACGAAGTTATCTGCAATGAAAATAACTCCTTAATAGTGCGAACAGTTTAATGCAATAAAAATTCTAGACACTTGCAGTATGAAATAGTTAGCCACAATAAAATTCTTAACCTCAATGGGAATCTCCCTCAAATATGGTGAGAAGTCTTAATTACACCAAAGCCTGAAGTTTAAATGTTACCCCAATGAAAATTCGACTTCTTAACCACTGGTTACCAGCCGTAGTTTAACTATTCATCCCCCTGAAAAACTAGATCTGACTTTACTAAGAAATATTAACCAAATTAGGCCATACAACGATTGTTTCCTTGAGAAAATACTCCAAACAAATTATTAAAGGGTGCGGTTTGTATAGAACCGAGGCTCTAAAAAGCACAATTTTGAGAAATGTTGTTTTAATACTAGAAATCCTAGTGTTAGCCTTAAAATATATTTTCATCACTACTTATAAAATTTAAACCTTAAAAAATAACGTAGATCGAGCAGATTTATAAAAACTTGAAAATTGACGGTCTAAATATGCATTACAAGATGAACTATTTTCAATACTTGAAATCCATTTTTTCTCATGTCCATGCCTCTTGAGGTTGAGATGATCAAGTTGAGTATATTTGGGCATCAAAATAACCTCTTCTAATGAAATTTTTGAGGTGCACCCTAATTGGATTGTTTAGAGCCTCGCACTTATATAAACTTTTCCCATTATTAAATAACCATAGTTATGCTGAAACAGACAAAGTACTGATTATTCATGAATCGCAGTTACGAATATTCACCCTAGGACATTGTTTGTTTGGGGGATAGCTCTCTCTGAGAAAGTTGTTTCCGTGTGACGACCTTTTTTCCATGTTTATTTCATGGGCCAAGCAGTAGACATTGTTGCGTGTGAAAAAGTGCCTTCCCATTTTCAAAACACATGATGCATTTTTTTGAGAAAGCTATGTGATACCTCTTTAGGTATTACACAACTTTCTCTAGCTATGTTATACCTCTTTAGGTATGACAACTTTTTTTAGGGTACATTTAGTTCGTGAGGAAATATTTTTTAAAAATATTTTTATATAAAAAATTCCGGTTAGGTGTATAAATATTTTCACACTAATTAACTGCTAATTGATGTCAAAAGATGCACCGGAACCAATTAGTGTAAAAATATTCTTACACCTAACAAAATAAATAAATCTTTCACATAAAAATAGTTTCACGAAACAAACTGGGAATAAGCTCTCTGGATAGTGCTTTCTGGCAAACCAGAGGTTCCCTTAATCGCTGTTGTCATCGTTCGGAATGGATGGTGGATATCGACATTGGCGTGCCGTATACCAATAGTATATGCATACTTTGCCTTCCTCTTGATGTATACCACTTTATTCATCCAGTGTGTAAAGCATATTAGGTTTGGGATTTCAAAACCGGCCAAATTTATGGTGGTCCATCACCTTCGCTGGCCACGTGTATAACATGAGCAACATCCGGGTCCCTTCCTTTACTTTAACCAAAATCACTCTTCCATCATAAAACCCTAATTTTCACTTGATATGCATTAATAATGGGGATAATAATAGAATAACTCTTCTTGGAGACATGAAACATATTGACATTGCCTTCCATTTACTTTCTTATATATTATATGTAATAAGGTTGCAACCTTAAACAATCCAAATAAGGTGCAGTTTCAAATTTTATAATAACATGTAATTTTGGTGTAAAATATTCTTAGAATTATCTGAAAATCTATTTTCATATCTAATTATAAAATTTTAAACTCTAAAAATGGTTAAAATCAAGTAGATCTACAAACATATGAAATTTTTGAAATTAAACGGTCTAGAAAATGTATTGCAAGATGTACTATTTCTAAGACTCAATTTTTTTTTTTTTTTCTATACTTGTACATCTCGATGTCGAGAGGAGCAAATTTGATGGTTGGTCAACATTAAACAACCTTTCCCAATGAATTTTTGAGGTGCATCCTTAATTCTACATTTTAAGGTTACAATCTTATTTAAACTTTTTCCTGATATATATGCATATCTTGTCATTTGTTTTTTAAGGAAAATGTTTAAGGACCAAGAGAAAAAGAAAATAAAAGTGAAGATCCCTTTCATTTGATATATCCCAATCCATGTACCATGGAAAAGGAAATAAAAATGAAAAAGATATAAAAGTAAAAGGACAAAAAATCAAAGGGTAAATCTTGCTTTGATTTAAAATATATATGACACATGCTTTGATATAAAATGTATTCTACACTCCTTACCTTAGCCACCACTTTAAAGATGCCCCTACTTCTAAAAGTAGAAAAAAAAGAAGATGTTTGCAATAAAGATGTCTTGCACACTGTTCCCTCCCTCTCATTTCTCCTATTCTTTTACAAAATTTAAATTGACACATTAATAATTGGACTCAAGTCACGAGTAAAGGTACTCTTGCCTTCTTTCTTCCTTCTATTAATAAGTGAAATGGGTCTCAATGGCTTCCATCGCATGTCTAAGTTTCATAGAGCAATTCAAGGGTTGGGATGTAGAGGAAAATGCCAGGATCCAGGAGAGAGAATTCTCATAAGAAGCTCCAAAAACACAAGGGTAACAAGAAGCAGAGGATATGTGGATGCTTTTGTTGCAACTGTCGGCTAAGCACCTCGTCTTCCGATGATTTCGACTCGTTCGACTGTGAACGTGGGAACCACTTCGGCCTCGGCCGCCTCTCTCATGCCATGGTTCAAGAAAGGTTGGAGCAATTGATCCAATCATACAAAACTTCGAGGCGAGAAACAAAGAAGCCGAATAGCCATGAGGACATATATGAGAAGACTCCAAGAGTGGAGAGTGGTAACAAGGTAATGTTGGCCATGCAGAAGTTCTCCTATGATCCAAGAAAGGATTTCAGAGATTCCATGTTTGAGGTAATAGCAGAGAACCAAATAGTGAAGCCAAAGGAGTTGAGGAGCCTACTAGATTGTTACTTGTCCATGAACACAGAAGAGTGTAGGATGCTGATTCTAGAGGCTTTTCATGAGGTGTGCTTACAGTTATTCATATGCCCTTCTCCTTTGCCTTCTAACTTTATTGACTGTAAATACTGAGATGGGGTTGTTTAGTGGGTGTAATAATGTGAGTGATGTTTGGGTTTCTCAGAATGCGTGTCAAGTTGAGAGAGAGCACTTCTTTCCTGGGGATCCACGACCACAAATCTTTTGTATTAGTTTTGGGAATAGGTCCTTGACTTGTAACTGCTTTGGCACTTCTTTTCCATTCTTTAGTATGATGTTGTCATGAACGAGGGAGACATGCCCAGCAAGAGAGAGAGAGAGAGAGATAAAAAAAAGAAAAAAAGAGAGGATGAAAGAAGCTGATGCTAAATGCTACATGAGGCATTGGGTTAACAAAGGGGAAGAATCCCAATTAGGGCTGTCAATGGTCCTGATTTCAGGCCTGTTTAGGGCTTCGGGTCGGGCCACCAGCCAAAGTACTATTTAATGGGCCGGGCCAAAGTGACCCGGATAAGCCCGAAAATGTGCCCAATGGGCCAAGCAGGCCCCGGGACATATTGCGACTCGGCCCAATAAGCCAGACCCAAATAAAATCCCGGCCCGTCAATTTTTTTTTTTGTAAAAAAAATATTTTAAAATTATAAGTCTTCACTCTTCAAAATTTTCTTGTTTGTAGTAAGCATAAAATTAAAATAAAAGAAATAATTGCTAAAATATTTTTTAAAAAAATTTGAAAGGGAAAATATCTCCATAAACCCTATTTGTAAGTTTCATTTTTCGATAGACCTAAAGTTTTAAAGCCTGTCTTACCACATAAAGAATCTATCTATTATATGTTCGGGTGCGGTTTGTATAGAGGCGAGGCTTTAAACAATCAAATTAGAGCCCACCTTCAAATAGTGTCAAGAAATGTGTTTTCAATACTAGAAATCTTTGTGATAGTCTTAAAATAAATTTTTATATTTAATTATAAAATTTAAAGCTTCCAATATAGTGTAGATTGAGCAGATCTATAAAAACTTAAAAATCTAAAAAATTGACGGTCCCAAAATGCCTCATAAGATGCACCATTTCCAAAACTTGAAATCGTTGTTTTTTTCTCATGCACATGCATCTTGTGTTGAGATGATCAATTTGAGGATATGTATGCATCAAAACAACTTTTTACAATGAAAATTTTGAAGTGGGCTCTAATTTGATTGTCTAGAGCCTCGGCTCTTTATAAACTTTTCCCTATATCTTCAAACCCCCTAAATCAACTTCATCTAGTTGTACCCCATATTTTTGGCCGAAACAAGTTTATAAAAGACATTTTTTTAAAAAAAACCTCTCTTCATGGGTTTCTCTCTCCCCTCTCTCTTCATGTTTTTTTTTCTCTCTCTCTCCCCTCTCTCTTCATGTTTTTTTTCTCTCTCTCTCTCCCCGAATCTCCCGAACACCCCTCTATCTCTCTTTGTATTTTCAGTGAGAAAATGGAGGTGTGTGCTCTATGTTTTTGAGGTTTGGAGTTTGAAAAAAAGCCAGTAGTTCTGAAGCTTATGTGGCTGGAACAACCAGTTTCAGGGAAAATGTAGGCTTAGGCTTGCGATTGGGGCTTTCAATCCATTAACTACTAACCAAAAAAATTATAGGATTGCGATTGGGGCCTTCAATTCATTTATTATCCAGGAAATTTATAGGCTTGCGATTAGAGCCTTCAATTAATTTTACACCACAATTTTTTTGAGAATCACAGGTCAACTTCTCAATTATCGTGCCCTAAATCTTTACTATTTCTTGTTGACATGTATGGCTATGAGGCCTTACGTGTCTTAGCTTACTTTTGTGGGAATTCAATATACATCCATCGGTCATATAGTCCAACGTTCATATGAGAGTGACCCCTTGTTTTTCTCATGAGACCCATTGGAGATCAGGGAACCCCTTCATTTTCTCAGAGACCCGTTGGAGAATACAATGGTTTCTCCTTCTTCTCCCTATAAAATGGGAAGCCAGAGAGAGGATGATGATAACAAAGATAGACGTACAATTTTCTCTCTTTAAAAGTGAAGGGATCAAAATCCGGACTCTGCGATGACCAGCTTCACGGCACCCCTTCTCCGATCTCGAGTTTTGTCTTATACGCGCTCCATCAAATTTTTGCTTACACTGGTATCAGAGCTTCTAGCTCTCTCTGTACAAGTATTGACTACATATTAAATTGTTTGGTGCCTTGTTTAGCTTCTTTAGAACTTAGAAAGAATTAGTTTGCTCACACAAAACTTAACAAATGGCAAGTAGAAGTGTAATGCTTTCTAAAGTTAAAAAATTGAATGGAAATAATTTTGGGATGTGGAAGAGGAAGATGAAATATCTTCTCATCCAAGATAGAACAATATATGTACTAAGAAAAGATCCACCAGAAGTTGGTGATAAACCTACTGAAGAAGAAAGAAAAAGGTTAGAAATTTTTTTATAATATGACCTCATAGCAAAAACATCTATGTTAACTTTTATGCAAGATGATGTTATTAAGGTTTTCGAGCATCATGAAACATCTAAGAAAATGCTAGAAGCAATAAAAACTAAATATGACTCAACATCTGATACACACCTCCAACTGCTATTAGAGTAATATAAATTCATTTAACATGAAGGAGGGTAATAATGTAGTGGAACACGTTAATAAGATTTTCGTTATGGCTAAGGACTTAACCATTACTAGGAATGAAGTCCTCAAGCCCATGCAAGTTTCCACTATCTTAAATAGTCTTCCACCTTCATGGAGGATGGTAACAATTGTACTAGGTTGAATGAAAAATCTCTTACATTAGGGGACCTACCTATGCAACTAGCTTTAGAGCAAGAGCACATGAACGAAGATAAAAGGAATGAACTCATGCTTGCTCAAAGACCTCAAAAATTTAGCCAATTCAAGCCATATAACCATAAATTTTAAGGGAAGTTTAATAAGAGGAACAATAGGTTCAATAACAGAGGAACTAAGCCTTACAAATAAGAATCTAAATAAGGACCGCTAAAATGCTTTTTATGTGGTTAGTCAGGACACTTCAAAAATCACTGCTCACAAAATAGAAACCCACAAAATCCATAGAATAACGGGAATGGAAGCAAGAGGCGTGAAGTTGTTTGTGTGGTCTCTAAGTGCTTGATAGAAGACCACGACATCAAATGATGGTGGGTGGACTCAAGCGCTAATTGGCATATCGCAAGCTCAAAAGGCCTCTTCGAGGACTTCCAAGAAATAAAATCGAGGGAGAAACGCATCTACATTGGGAACAACACCTATTATGATATATTAGGTGTAAGAACTTGTAAGATATATGTAGGGACAATCGACCTTGTATTAACTGATGTATATTTTGTCCCTTCTATGAAATAAAATATTGTGTCTGTCCCTTTGCTCATTAGAAATGGCTTTGAAGTCTGCTTTCGATCATTGAAAGTATCAATCGGAAAGCGGGGACAAATTTATGCTTGGGGACACTTAGTTGATGACCACAACTTGTTCCTACATCATGTAAATGAGAAAGCTGATAATAAAATTTCATCTTATTCTAGTTATATTGATTGTGTAATGGTTGTTGATGCATATACTTGGCATCTTAGATTTGGCCTTATAGGAAGAGACAAAATGAATAAGTTAATAAAGAAAGGCCTTATTCCAAATCTAGATAATGTGGAATTTCCAAAATGGAATAGAACCCTCTTAGAGGTGTAATAGAACCCTCTTAGAAATGACTAGATCCATGATGGTTCATACTAATTTACTCAAGGCCTTTTGGGGAGAAGCAATAAGCATATCCATGTATATTCTTAATAGGGTTCCAACTAAAGTAAATTCTACCCTTTATGAACTGTGGACAGGTAGAAAACCTGATTTATCTAACTTAAAGAAGTGGGGGTCGATTGCACATGTCCTAATTCCATATCAGCACAGAAATAAATTATAAAATAAAACTCTAGTGTGTAATTTTGTAGGATACCTTGAAGGATCAAAGGGATATCGATTTATCTTAAAGATAAGGGACTCATTGAAAGCAAAGATGCTGAGTTCTTAGAAGATTTTTTTGAAGAAAACATACCTGTAGTGGATAATGATAATCCACTTAATATCCTAAATGACTTAGAACCACTACCTGCAATAGATATGGATAAACTTGATCAACATGATGATGTCGAAGTACCCACACACCTAATGTTAAGAGGTCAAAAGAGGTCTAGAGCTCCTCCATCATACTTTGCTGATTTCTATGTCTATATGAGTGAGGAGACAGACAACCTTATACATCTAGATGAAATCCATGACCCTTTTGACTTCAATGATGCTATGAAGTCACAAGAATCTCAAGAATGGTTTAATGTCATGAGAGAAGAATTAGATTCTATTGAGAAAAATAAAGTTTGGGATTTATGTGATTTACCATCAGATAGGAAACCTATAGGTTCTAAATGGGTACTTAAAAATAAATTAAAATCTGATGGATCACTTGATAAATTTAAAGCTAGGTTAGTAGCAAAGGTTTTTACTCAAAGAAAGGGAGTCGACTAAGTCGACACTTATTCCTCAGTTACAACGTTTATAGCCATTAGAATAATTTTGGTAATCATAGCATATTATGACCTAGAACTTTACTAAATTGATGTAAAAACTACATTCCTGAATGGTGAACTAAATGAAATAATCTACATGAAGCACAACCTGATGGCTTCATAATTAAAGGTCAAGAAAATAAATTATACAAATTAAATAACTCTTTATATGGTTTTAAACAATCTTCAAGACAATGGTACTTAACATTTCATGATTCCATCCTACAGATGGGATATGAAGTACATAGATTGAACCATTGTGTATATGTTTTGAAGAGTGGGAGTTAATTCACAATACTCTCATTATATGTAGATGATATCTTGATAGCTAGAAATGACTTTGTTGTAAGTCATTTTTGACATTCTTCCATAAGCCCATGCGAATAAGAAATGAGCCGGCGACAGTCTGGTATTGCAGGTTTATGAAACACCAGTAGACCAGGATTGTGCCGAAAATAAAGCCTTCAGCTTAGTGACCTGAGTGTGGTGCCCTCGCACCAAGAAAGGACTCTCCACTGTAGCCCTATGTGAACAGCTGCAACAGGGCACTAGACCACTGTCATTGTGCTCAGAATATCAAAGAACCCCCGATGACCAAATTTGGGCTCAATCAGACCTCCCTAGAGGGGTCTATGCTCATGCAGCCTCGCAACTCATGGGTTTTACCATAGTGCAGTGCGGCTTCACCAAATCA